GGGAGCAAGGCAGGGCTTTCTACTCCCATAAAGAGTGACAGTCTTGGGTACACACAGGGACAGTTGTCCCCTGTCCGATGGGGTGGCAATGGGGTGGCACTGATTCAGTGGCAGTGAGTTTCCTCTTTGGTCTCCAAACTCGAGTTGTAACCTATAATAAGCAAAAGATTTGGCATCTGATTCTACACTGACTTTTGAAATGAAAATTTGGTTATTCAACACTTTTCATAAATTCCTTTTTGCCATGTATCTCAGTTAAAAAATGTTCTACCTCACCAAGCTCTCTAGGAAAATGCTCCCTGTACGGTTTATAGAATGATTTGCCACCTCCTATCTTTTCCTGTGCAGCTTAGATTTAATTGTCAATTGCTTTTGTCTTTCTTGCCATTACACTTGACTCCTTGTCTTGTCTTTCTTTCATCTTCTCCCAACAAAACCCCATTCTCTTATGAATCAAACCAAATAGCTTCTTCCAATCCAGAGCTCAGTGCGTGGTACTTTTAGGGAAAAATCTAATACTTACCAATTTTTGTCACTGTAAATAAAAGAGTAAACGGCTTAAAGACCAATTGGCCCGTATGTGCCATCTAGCATTATAGCTTTCATCCAGCCCCAAGAGTCCTCTCTCCTCCTCTCTGCCATGCTCATTTCAAATCGTCTCTCTTCTTCTTAAACATGCTATCTCACTTCCTGGTGATCTTACATCTAGATTTACAAGAAAAGAAACAAGCAAACATTGACTGAAACCATTTCAGGACATTGTGACCAGTATCATAATGCTAATGGGCATCCTCAAGGACACTTTCTTCTTTCCTCCTTATCTTGATAAAATCATCTCTCTTTCTGATTAAGATACCCTATACAGTATACTCATGTATAAGCTGAGTTTTTCAGCACATTTTTAATGCAGTTTTTGTGGTAAAAGGAGGTGCCTCAGCTGATAATCGGGTCGGCTTATACTCCAGTACATATGGTAAGTTATTCTTAAATTTTCTTTCTTGCTCTTTTCCTTTCTTCCTCCTTTACTAGAAAATTCCCTCTTTTTCCCATAGCACCTCACCCTCTCCCCTCTATTAGCATGTTCCTTTCATAATTTAATACGATATACAGTCTCCTCTTTGGGGAGAAAATTCTCCTGAAAACCCGTATCTATTTCCATTGCCATCTCTTTTCTCCCTCTCTTCAAAGATGGAGTTGTTGAAAGAATTCTCTAAGCTTTATTTTTATAACTTCTTTCTTTTCACTCATTCCTAATTCCAAGAAACCTGGCCCTTTCCCTATGTTTGTCCTCTCGGGGAGGTCACAATCAGCTTTTGTATTGCCAAAACCATTAGACACTTTTTAGAGGCGTCCTGGTGGCATACTGGTTACGAGTTGGGCTGTGATCCACATGGTTGGCAGTTTAAAACCAGCAACAGCTCTGTGGAAGGAAGGCTGGGCTTTCTGCTCCTGTAAATAGTTCCAGTGGCAAAAACCTACAGGGGTCCACATTCACTGGATGGCAGTGAGAGGGAGAGTCTGCTGGACAAAGCTGAGGCTTGCTGCTCCCATAAACAGTTACTGTTAGACACCCAGAGGGCAGGCAGTTCAACCTTGTCCTGTAGAGTTGTTATTGATTTGATGGCGGTGAATTAGGTCATACCTAGACAGTGTTTGCCACTTTGGGGAACCCTTTCCTGTTGAAAAACTATCTATTGGTGTTTCTATATTGATCTTGTATTTCTTCCAGATTTTCTGTCTGTTTCTTTTCAGTCGGTTTTCTTTTACAGTTGTATAAATGGGTCAAAAATACTAAGGGAGGCATAGTCAATCATATGCTTTTGTATTTTAAGATTGTACCATAAGCTTCAAATACAGAATTTTCTGATTCCTTGGCATTCGACATCCAAACTTGATAGCACAGGCAGAACCCACCCATTGGTCCGCAACCCAGAACTGTCTTTCCTCAGGTTTTGTTCTGTCCGGTATAGAAAGGGGCCTTGCACACATATGTGTATTCGGACTCGTGTTCACATTCAAATTCTTCTCACGTTGTATGCACATATACAGCATATGAAAGGCTATGCCTTGACTACTCCACAGGCCTCCCCATGACCATACCCGCAGAACATTTGATACTCCGGAGGATAGTCGCTACAAAAAGATTTGAAGCAGGCTTAGAATTTGGGGAAAGAATTCCGGGGTCTTGGGCTCTGTGATCTGGGAGGTGAACTCCAAATACCCATGACCTTTGGCTTCATAGACACTTCATTTCCTAAGAAGCAAATCCCAGGACTCAAAGTCCACGGGGCCCAAAGCAGGATCCCCTTTTGCCCTCTTGTGGGTAGGCATAAGACCTTGGTCTTCTTTTAGATTCTGGTGTGTTCCACTTTTCTTCATACTTCATACCTGTACCTGGGCTATATCATCTATCCCCATGGCTTCAAAAGTTACTTTCCATCAACTGATAATGCTCATGTCTACACCTCAAGACTAGATCTCTCTCCTGAGTTTAAGATGGTATCTGTGGCCTTCCTGGACGTAACTATTATTCATGGCATTTCTCAGACGGCGTTCATCATTGCTTCTATCGCATTGCTCTCTACTCTTTTTCCCAGGCCAGAAATTTGGGCTTCATTTAACTCCTTTCTCTTTCTCATTTCTCTGTGTTCAGATAATTGACCAAGTCCTACCATTGTAGTTTTCCCTCCTTTCTTTTGACTTTGCTCTGTCTCTACTGCCACTACCCTAGATCAGGTCACTATAATCACTGTTGCAAAAACTCCCGAACCTCTCGTGCTAAGGGAATAGGGAACCAGGATATTTTCCTGCTTAAAAACTGTCAGTCACTTTGCTCTCAGGTTAAAATTTTGAGTCTCTAGTTGTCGAATGAAGCCCTATTTTATCTGACCTCTATTTCTCACTGTTTCCCACTTTTAATAATTGTGAAGTGTAAATAATTTCTTGAACAAGCCCTGTCCTCCTGCTTATGGCTCTTTCTAGCAGCTAACAGGATCAGCTCCACAGCAGTGGGTTTTTCTTGTTATTTTTTGGTTTTGCTTATATTTCATTCAGCATATCAGGTTATACAACTGTTAAAAGTATTTTCATAATGATATTTTAAAAATTTTCCAGAATAATATATATCCTCTCTATAATTATTTTTCTACTACGGGAATAATTAGCCCTAAATAGCAGTGAGGTGGCAGAAGTTCTAATGTGATCACCCTTGCTTTTATGATCTGTGTAGCTCAGTTACTGTTTTCTAACATCTTCAAAAACAAGCATAGTCCCTGACTTATTTTCACCTGGACGTTCTTTCTCCAACAGCTCCTGAGTTGTAGACAAGTGAACATTTTAATAGAGAATGAAAATAAGATGATAACACACTGAAGCCTTAAGTTAGATGTATTCTCATGATAGCATTGGAGCAAATGAAATCTGTGTGTTTATTCCTTTTTTTGCGTATGAGATGTATTTGTGTGTTTCAGCAGAATTAAAGAGCTTAAATGTTAGATCTGAAGAATTAACTATATCACAATATAGAAAATAGTGGTGCTTGATGAACTTTGTACCTTTTCAACCTTTAATTCAGTCACTGATTTTTCTGTGTTCTTTTCCCGTTTCTCCCCTTTTACCTTTCAGGAGAAAAGCTCATGCGATTCAGCTACCCAGATATTCACTTTGATATGAACTTAACATATGAGAAGGAGGCTGAGCTGATGCAGTCTCATATGATGGACCAAGCCATCAACAATGCAATCACCTACCTTGGAGCTGAGGCCCTTCACCCTCTGATGCAGCACCCGCCAAGCACAATCGCTGAGGTGGCCCCAGTTATAAGCTCAGCTTACACTCAGGTCTATCATCCAAATAGGATAGAAAGGCCCATTAGCAGGGAAACCTCTGATAGTCATGAAAACAACATGGATGGCCCTATCTCTCTCATCAGACCAAAGAGTCGACCCCAGGAAAGAGAGGCCTCTCCCAGCAACAGCTGCCTGGATTCTACTGACTCAGAAAGCAGCCATGAAGACCGCCAGTCCTACCAAGGAAACCCTGCCTTAAACCCCAAGAGGAAACAAAGCCCAGCTTACATGAAGGAGGATGGCAAAGCTTTGGATACCGCCAAGGCTCCTAAGGGCTCTCTGAAGGACATCTACAAGGTCTTTAATGGAGAAGGAGAACAGATTCGAGCCTTCAAGTGTGAACACTGCCGAGTCCTTTTCCTAGACCACGTCATGTACACCATTCACATGGGTTGCCATGGCTACCGGGACCCACTGGAATGCAACATCTGTGGCTATCGAAGCCAGGACCGTTACGAGTTTTCATCACACATTGTTCGAGGGGAGCACACATTCCACTAGGCCTTTCCATTCCAAAGGGGACCCCTGTGAAGTACAGAACTGCACATGAAGAAATTACTGCACTTACAATCCCACCTCCCTCCGATGTTGACACACCCTTTTTCTTTTTTAATATTATTACTGTCAATAATTCTTATTTTGTGGACACAGTGTCATTTGCTCTGCCTAATTACAAGGAGGAAGACACAGAAGAGTGAAGGGTCAGGGGGGTATTGTTTCTTGCTAACTTGTCCATTTTTGTTGCACATAGGCATAAGATGTGTTCACTCTTTGGAAAAAAATCACTCAATTCATATAGATTGACCTAAGAGAGATTCTAATTTGCTACTGATATTCAGGATGATGATTGAAGCCAGGAAATTTTAAGAGTTTTCTGGATAAGACTTCCACAGTTTAAAATGGCATTAGTAAATTGACTCTTCAAAGAAGAATTTGTTTCAAAATGTCAGCTTTTTTTTTTTAGCTTTTCTTTTTCTTTCTGCTCACTAGAGGTCATGGAACACAAATCAAACATGATGATTTTTGGTGATAACCCCAAGGATGAGTTGGTTTTTTGGGTCCTATGTTTACTTTCCCTATGGAATTTATAATGCAGTATGATATACACTGTAGCATATAGCAAAACTTGTAAACTACAGGTAATTAAGGACCACCTAAAATATACCTGTGGTCCTGTGATCTTATTTTTCTAAACTTAAGCACTGTTTTCCATCGTTTTAATGACTGGCATTTTATAGACACCCTGGCAGCCTTACTTTCAACACCTTGAATGGATAGTATTTTTAATCTAGTTTTCAGTATAACATACAGTCTAAGAGTGGTAAGAGGCAGTCAGTAGTTTTCAGACAGGATTTCTACTTTTTAAAACTTTGTTTGGAAAGTTTCTTGTTTTCTTTTAAAGTTACAATGTAATGACAGTATAGCATCCATATGTGTGTCTAAAAGTCTGCTTATGATTGTCACTTTATCAGCATTTAATCAGTGTTAACCAGTCAGCAGAAAAATATAATTAGGCTAACAGTAGGGGAAAAAACACTTAGAAATCCGTTTTCTGGTATTTCTCTTTTCACTGGGTTTTTCAAGCTGTGACCAACTAGTGTTCTCCCGTCGTCTATTCATCTTTTACCCTTTTGAGTAGAAGGTCTTGAAAAATGTTGCTATGGGCTATTTTTAACCGAATTTCCTTGGAACAATTGCTAATTTGACCTGAATGTGGTAACTTGAATCCTGTAAGGTTATTGAACTAGGGCTATTTATTCTAGTATTTCGTCAGTAAAGAGAGTTACCGCTTTCGGTGCAAGGGAAATTAAGCTTCTTTTTAAAGAAGTGTACCTTGGACGACAGATTTTTAAAGAAAAATAAACATGTTTATTTTAGCCGTCTTAGAATCTAGAATGTGAGTGTATCGCCCCAGTAAGAGTGACTGTGTGTCTTGCAGAGCTTTCTTTTAAAACAATTCACCTGCATATGACTCCTTTTCAGAAGTGAATCTCAACTTCTCAGTGCAAAGGTTGTTTTTTTCTCCCCCGATTTGAATCCCTACATGACGTATATGGCCATATTTCACGTCACCTTTTAATTTCACTTATGTGGGTGCTCTGTTGGTCTGTCTGTACTCTCAAGAGTGATACCAGATGGACTCATAGTGAGAGGCACGATCAGAAGGCATGTGTTTCAGGAGCGCAGGCATGGCTGTGACAGGTTTCTCTGGTCGCCATTTGCGAACACTGAAGCCTTACTTCTCTAGACTACCTTTAATCAGGAAGCTGAAACTCTTTCTTTATACAGTGTGAGGAGAGAATTAGCAGGAGTCGAGGCTGTGGACGGAGAGCTCCAGTATTGCTCATAACTCTTGTCTACTGTATCTGCTTATTTATTCAACTTCTGAGCATTAATATAGCTAGAGCTACACCAAAAAAAAAACTAAAAAAAGGCAACTCAGTGCTCTTTTATTTGGGTTTCCAACCTCTGTCTTTCTTATTGAAAAGTAACTAAACTATTCATTTAAATAGATGAGAATGCACCACTAAGTAAATAGAAAATCTACTGGTGTGTTTTCGGTTGTTTGCTTGTTTTTCTGTGTGCTTTGGGATTGTGAACATCCGACTTGGTCAGTGATAAAGTATGTGCTTGAGAATCACTCATCCCCAACCACCGTCTAACCATTTTCAAATAAGAATTGGGGCATGAAGAAAGGGGCATCATTTTATGGGCAGTAATTTGGTGTTCTGTGGGAATTTAAGGAAACATTTCAGCGACAGGCACTGCGTTCCTAACTTTGACTGTGTGTGAATTCCTGTTGGCAACAGTCTATGAATTCCTACATTAGTCGTCCTCCCCTCTCCCTGCTCCACTCCTCAATGTAAGAACAGTCATGTAGCTACCTGCCCTGGGGTGAGCCTGACTGTGGGCGGACCTCAGGAGCTGTGTAGTGGCTCAGTGAGAACAGTACACATCACTCTCCTTTTGTGATTTCGCCTTCTTGGGACGCTTACACTGAGAGAATGAATCCTTGGGAGAGTGTATGTGCTACAGGTAGATACTTGTATTTTCTTCCCTGCACGAGATGAGGAACAAAAAGAGGTGGCAATAGATCAGGGTGGGGTAAGTGAGGACAAGGTCAACCCAAAGGTATGGGTTAGAAAAAAGAGGAAAACAATGTGTGGGCCTAGTTCTTTTTCTGAGGCATTCTGAAGACTATATTTATATGTTTCTTATTCACAAAAGGAAATAATGCAAGGTAATGACACCTAAAAATAGAAATGAGGGTCAGACACCAAATAAATCCAGTTTTATATAACACCTGTCTGCCCCATTTATTTGGTTGACAATTTACATTACAGGGAGTCTTTGAGGGGGCAGGAAAATGGGTTATTACCTGTGTTTTCCAGTTTGGCAAAAATTCAGAAATCCATCACATTGCTTTGCCCTATTTTTCCCAGAATTTTATCTCTAGCTCTTGTTAGAGTATAAGTATGCTGCCTTTCTCTCTAGGACAGTGATTAACCACTTTTTAAAAGTCGTTCTAATCCGGCTTTTTTGAAACAGTAAAAGTGACCTGTAGACAGGATGAAAGAGATTTCAAGTTCAAAAAGAAACATTCTGTTGAGAATTTCCTGGAGGGGCAAAATGGAAATTTGCAAGGATTTAGCCTGAGCAACAAATAACAATTTTATGTATGAATCATTATGAATGTGCATTTGTGTGTACATATGTACATGTATATTACGTGTAAGGCCGGCAGACAATTTTTTTAAATTGTGAAAAAAAATATTAAAAGTGAAAAATGCCTAGGAACTTTTTGAAGTCCCCTCTCACATGTACACACAGCATACTTTTTTGTTGTTGTTTAGCTCATGAAGAGAAACAATTAGTGTGATCAATGTGTGCAAGTAGAGCAGAGTTAAAATGAAAGATCTGAGCAATTTCGTGGGTTTACAGATTGTGTTAAGAAACGCTGCCATTATTAATGTGTTTTCGTGACTAGTGGCAACTACTAAACCTGAGTCTTTGGAACCTTCCTCCAGAACAAAACCAAAATAGGCAAACATCAGCAAAAAGAGATTTTAAGCTAATTTACTCTAACCTCCAGAGAGAAATGTAGATGACTATATTAAGTGGAAAGAAACAAGAAATAACACTTTTCAACTTTCACTTGTTGAAAAGAGTATCAGTGAAGTTGATAGTTGCTTTTCATTTTTTTGATTAGCTTTTTAGTCTCTGGTGCACAGCTCACAAAACCATGGAGTCTTTGACATCGTATTCCTTCATTCCTGAAATTTACAGCAGAGAAGGCATCAGCTTATTTCCCCAGTTGTCTTTCACTTTGTTTCCCAAATAACCCCTTCAGGTAGAAAAAGGAAAGAAGAAACTGCAAAAATAATAATAATTATTATATGTATATACATAAAACAAAAGTCTACACGCTCCGATTTCAAGATGGAACTCAGATTATAAAAAGTACAGGCTACATTTTTTCCCCAGAAAAACCTTTGGAGTATTTACAAAAAAGGATTAAGTCAATATTTGTGGTCATCTTTTGTCATATATATTCTTTTAGCGCATACTAGCTGTATGAAGATTTTTTTCCAAAACAGAAGATTCTCTAAATACTAGAGAAAAAATGTGGAGTAAAATGAAAGTGTGTATAGAGAAGTTATCTTAGAAGCTGCTTGACACCTCCAGTTTCTGCAAAATAATGAAAATAAACAGTAACTGGGCGCTTGAGAGTCTGCATTTAACGTATTAAATACTTCTAAATTTCCTTAGATTGATGCCTTTTAAAAATGCATTGAGAGAGTGCTGATTAGCTACTGTCGCTCTGTAACACTTGTATTATGTATTTTTTAAAATCATTTAAAATTGGAGTGCTTAGAGAAATCATGTCTGTGTTCTTATGGCGAAACTCTTGCAAAGGCCCAATACAGATCTCCCAATATCTTTTTAGTTTCGTAGTATTTCTGAAGACCTTTATAAGAGTATGTTAGGAAAGGGAAAATATTAGGGAAGCGAAATTGTAGAGGTTAATTGTATGCATTTTTGCTTTGTTTTGTTCTTAAGAATACAATGTGTATCAGACAAGGGTTTATTTGTATAACTTCCAATTCCTAAAGTACAGTGTTGTTTTAAAATTTCTTCCAGAGACTGGTAGTCTTGGAACTGATGTCTTCATCATGGAATAATGTTACAAAGCAGTTAATTAATTCTTCTTGAACAAAACAAAGCTGAACAGTCGTAGGGAACTGCTATTCTCCAAAGCATAATCTTGAATGGTTGCCTACCACGGCCATGTATTACTTGCTGTGGATGTGTTAGGATGTGACAGCTTTTAAAAAACAAACAAACAAACAAACAAAAGCAAGCTGCTGGTGACTCAAGCAAACATCATATGACCAAGAAGCTGTGATCTGCTAGTGTTCCTTGTTATCATAGTGTATGCCTAGGCCAAACGATGTCACCTTGGATATTTTTACATTTATCAAAGAAACCTAAACTTTGGAATTTCCATAAGGTTTTTTATGTAACTCTATTTCTAACTTTTTAGTTTTACCTTGCTGTACTGTACGTTTATGGGTATTTTTCACATGCACTCTTGGAAATAAGTTCATAATCCTGTCTATGGGGTTTTCCCCCTATAGCATTGCATTTGTATTTTTCTGTATAAAGTTGTGACTTAACCTTTATTTCATGCAAAGAGTGATACATGAATGACTAGTTTTCTAAGATGTCCTTTTTATTGTGAATTAAATATAAAATTTAGAGGCCCTCTTGTGAACACCATCAAGCATGACATGTAACTTCATATAGGTCAAATAAGTCAGTTTGCAGTGAATGGGCCCTTCAGATTACCTCAGTAAGAAAGCTTCTTGAATGGGTGGAGGTCACTAAATCCTT